TTGGACGAAGAATGGGGTGCACACTAGCACCATCTAGTGAGCAAAAAAATACAGAATTCCTTGTATTTTATGATCTCAAGCATTTCTATATCTGTTCTGCTCATGTAAAGATCCTAAATGTCTTGGACATTAATATTCTAAACAAAGTAATAAAATAAACTAATTCTTACAGGTTCAAACCATGGAATTGACTAAACACCATTAGTTTTAATTTTTTCAGAAATTCTAACAAGAAAATAGAACCAGTAAAAATCTTTCCTGTTTTTAATTTTCATAAGTGCACAAATTGCTCACACCTTTGAATTATTTTTTTATTTTTATTATTAATAAAATTATTCAGGTACTTCCGTTTCATCTATACACTTTAAGCCTTTAGGTCAAACATCAGTATTCCACTGTGAATATTCGGCCACAGATCCTTGCAGCCTTGTCCTAAGTAATATATTCTGTGGTTTTTCCGCTTCCTTCTGCATATGTCCTTTCATATGTCGATTTAAAGCACCTTTTTGTATGAACGCTTGGTCACAAAGTTGACATTTGTGGGGTTTCTCACCCGTGTGAGTCATTCTATGTGTCCTTAACTCTTTTCGCGCCATAAACCGTTTCGGACATAAGTCGCAAGCAAATGGACGCTCACCTAAAAATAGTTTTCAAATATTTACACAAAAGACAGGGCGATATACGATTTATTTTCTAAAGGTTTAAGCAAAAAGTCATTAATTCATCTAAAAGTCCATGTAGTAAGAGGCTAACCATTAAGTATAATATGATGATGACAATATACAAATATTCATAAACCAACCTGTATGGGTCCTCATGTGGACTGTCTTAAAACTCTGAGTTTTAAAAGTTTTATCACAGTATTCACAAGCATATGGTTTTTCAGACGAATGCGACCGCATATGTTTGCGTAAATCTCCCTGAAAACACATATTGTTTAATTATATTTATTGTGACTGCCTCGTTGGTCGAGTGGTCGCAAGTGCGATTGCCGGGCAAGGGCTCTCGGGTTCGATTCCCGGATCGGGCAAAGTATTACTGAGATTTTTTTTAAAACTTTAAGTGCCGTAATGTGCACCTCTGCCTACACCTTCGGGGATAAAAAGGCGTGATGTGTATATTTATTATAATTGTAAAAAAGCATGATGTTTTTAGTTCTGGGGTTTGAAAAAATTCTACACAGATGGAGCCTATAAATTAATTAAATGGAAGATTGCTTTATACATACCTTAATATAAAATCTCATATCACAGATCTGGCAGGCAAAGTTCTTAATACCTGAATGCCTAATTAGATGCGATTTGAAATTGCCTTGATGTTTAAATTTCCTGCCACATTGCATACAACTAAAGTTCTTTTGATCACTATGAGATTCTATATGAGACTGGAAGAAAACATTAATTAGTTTGTAAAAAAAAAATATTTGAAACATCAATTTAAAGTATGTAAAACACTTCTTATGCTAAAAGATTAGATTTGCTTAGGCAACAGACACCTTATAGCTTATAAACTTAGGTTTCAACTTACCTTCAGATTACTACTCTGTACAAAACTGGCATTACATATATTGCAGACATACTTCTTAACACCAGCATGTATCATTTCATGATTCCTCAGTACATTTAAATAAGCAAAGCTTTTACCGCAAGTCAAACACTGATATTTACGAACGCCTGTGTGTGTGCGTATATGACTTTGGAGGTTTCGAACAGCTGGAAAAGTCTTGTCACAATATTCACATTTTATATCCGGCTAGAAAATAATAAATAAGCAATATAATATATTTTTAGGAGATTTTTCAATTTCACACAAATTATTTTAAAATACCTTTTTACCAAAATGTATTCTCAAGTGCGCTTCGAAATTTTCGTATTTTTGAAATGATTTCTCACATTTTGGGCATTTCATTCTTGTCCTTTTCTTCATCGGTTTTTCTAGCTCTCTTCGCTTTCTTATTCTCCTGAAAAATGTTTTTGAAAGTAAGGATGTTGATTGATTTTGTTAAGGTGGAGTGGGTAGGAGACATAATATTATTTCCGTGTGCGTTACCCAGGTCATTTGTTGTCGAAATGGTCATTTGAATCTTATAGATAATTAGTTGTGCGGCTTCTGTAATTGTTGTGCACATTTTTGAATTCCCTGAATTTCCTGCTGAGGTAATGTTACCCTAGCCAGACCTTTTTCTTTCTAATGGGAATATTTAAATAATTACTAGCTATAAAATTAGTTGTCTAGATGAAGTAAATGTTGTGCCTTATTTTGCATTTGTTCTTTCATTGGCTGCGAAGTTATTCGAGATTCTGTTGGGGTAACGTTTTCCGTTTTGCTAGCTTTGAGATGGTTTAGCTTTCATATTGTGTACATGACTCCTTAGGAATTAGTTTAAATTTGTTCTGCAATAAAAAACCAAAATAATATATAGCTTAAAGGTTATTTCAATAAATTCACATACATTGGAAGGCAATTACAAGCTTTAAATTAACGTTTAAAATAAGTCTTTAGAGCTCTTATTGAGAGTGCTGGGACCAATTGAAGTGTTTTTCTATTTAATGAAATACAAAGGTTATTTTATTAAATAGAAAAACACTTCAAAAAGCGATGTACTATTTTAGTTGTTCTATTGCATTGCAGAACAAATTTAAACTAATTCCTAAGAAACCATGTACAAAATATGATAAGAACCCGCTTAACCATTTCAAAGATCTAACAATACCAAAAACGTTACCCCAGCAAAATCTCGAAACTTGGCAACTGATGAAAGAACAAATACAAAATAGGGCACAACATTTACTTGCAGCTAGACAACTAATTTTATAGCTAGCAATTATTTAAATATTCCCATTAGAAAGAAAATGGTACGGCTGGGGTAACGTTACCCCAGTAGGAAAAGTTTTTGTGAAATAATTAAAAAACTATAAGCGCAACAAATTTAAAAATGACAAATTTAACAATTACAGAAGCAGTACAACTAATTATCTATAAGATTCAAAAGACCATTTTCGACAACATCTGGCCTGGGTAAGCACACATTATTTTCCATTAATTTTTTATTTTAGTTCAATTAAACACTGAAGCGGTGAGTGCATCTTGTACACATACCTAATAATTTCAGCTGGTTCCATGGAGCGGTCAGGTGGCATATCATCTTCTGAAGGAGGATTCTGACTGAGCATGTCATCCTCTATTTCCGGCACATTCATTTCTAAGATATGATTAGGTTCACTTTCCAGTTTAACAGGTTCCTGCTAGAAAATGCATAATGTTAATGTATTATAAGAACTATTGCAAAAGAATAAAATACCTAATAGACTTTCCACTGAGTTTTCATTATTTTTCAAAGTAACTCAATCTTATAATTTGTGATGAAGTTGCTGTTAGTCTGAAGTGAGACTAAATTTAGTCTAATGGAAGCTTATTTGGTTCTAACAATAACTTATTTATATGTGCATACCTCATCTAAAAATTGTTGTTTCAATATAAGGTTGGAACGAACCGCAGTTTGTTTGAAATAATATGACTTGTTCAGTACATCCAGACAAGCTTGGCATATCTGGCGAGGCAGACCATCACTTTCATCCAACTGCAAAAAAAATTAAAACCTTATTTCAAATTGTCTACAATAGAATATTATCAATATTCTATGACAATCTACTTAATTATGGTCTATGAGCCTTCTCCATTAAATCCGCCCCTTAGACGACACACTGACCGAGGAGTTGCCTAAACCCTCCATGCATTGCGCTTGGAAAGCCAGGAGTCGCTATGATAGAACCGGGCAGCGGGTGAAACGGCGCGGGAATAATAAATTCATTGAATAACATACCTCAACAGAAGTACAGAATTTGTAAACTTCAGGTGTGCAAACCATGAACAAGTCTTTCATGGGCCCGCTATCTAGTAAGCACGCACGACAGACCTTTTTGAAATCTATCACTAAAACCACTTCCGTAGACATTTTTATATTTCGTTTTACGAAAATTATTTATTTATTTATTTTTACAAATAAAAACACAACAACCACCTGACTTCTCGAGTTTATGAATTGTCATTTGAGTTTGACGTTTGTTTTGCCACAGATAAAAAACTCGTAGTTAAAAGTTAGTAGCAATAATAAAACGTATTGTAATGTTGGTGTTATAATAATAGATTTCTGTTTAATATTAATTGTTTACTTACTCAAGTTTATTTAAAGATAGTAAAGAGTTTTTAATTCACTTACTGCATTTTCACGGTAACATTTTAAAACATTATTTTTTGCCTGCCCGAATCGATTTCGCAATTTGCTGTTATTTTCGAATATTACGCGTAAGATTAATTTAATTATTTTTAAACAAGGAAAGTCCCTGTAAATTCCTGTTGCATAATTTTTTTCAGGTATTTAAAACTATGTCAACGTTTGATTAACTCTTTGATTTGGTAACATTGATAAGATAACAAAACTTCGAAATTCTCTCTTTATCCTTTTCTTATCGGTTAACAGACAAATAATTACGACAGTAATTCGACGGCGTTATCTAAGTATTTACAAAAATAATTAACTGTATGTACCTAACTACCTTATACCTACTTACAATGTTATATGTAGGTATTGAAGTGCATTATGAGAACAAAATTGTTAGCTACATTTTCATATTGTTATTAAACTTACTTCATCATTAATTATGTCATTCATTGCACCTAAATATTCCGAAAATACTTCAACTGATAAAGATTCGGACAATCCTGCAGTACTACTTAACTTTGACCTCTTTAAATATATTGAACTCGATAAAAAGCTGTGAAGCTATCATAAACTAGTTTTTACCTAACGGTATGTTATGGAGCCGACCGACACACATGCGTACACGTCGACTAAATTGAAGATGTTTAATCCTCATACATTTATGATTGCAGATGTTCGCTACGCTACGTCACTTTATCTGCAGTCATTCAAGTAGCATTGTTAGCGTAAATACATTGATTGGAGGTTATATTTTTACATTTCGACTACAATAATAACTACACTACATTTACACAGGATATTTTATTTTAAAAATTTTCCTGGCTTAGGTATAGGCATTGAACGACCACAGACGCAACATAGCTTTATTTTATCCAATTTATATCCGTGGTGACAGCTTCTTATACGCTTGTAGTTGTGTTGTGTGATAATGATTAACAAAGTAAACACGATATTGTTTTAAGTCATAAAGTGTAGTGAATTGAATTGGTGTGTAAGTACACAGTATATGTATGTAGATGTTGATAAGAACATTGCCCGTCCAGTCATACGTTTTCAGCGGCACGAACCGCTCGTGTTTTTGAGTCACGTTTGTTTACGTCCACGTAACAATAGTAATTGAATATGAGTGCCAACGGTGCAAGCGACGAAGTACCCATCAGAGGGATTCCAAACAATGAAAGAATCAGCCGTTTAAAGGAACATTTTATCCAGGAATTCGGAAACGATCCATTGTTTTTTGTCAGAGTGCCGGGACGCGTGAACCTAATTGGTGAACACATTGATTATTGCGGCTACCCAGTGTTGCCCATGGCACTCGAACAGGATATACTGATAGCCGCTGCGATACTAAATAAACCAGAACTTCATGTACGAAATGTAAATAATAAATACAGCAATTATGTAACGGAAATTAAATCATGTGAAGATATAAATATTATTTCGGATCATAACGGTAAACCGTTTTGGTATAATTACGTGCTGTGTGGGGTTAAAGGTGCTTTGGAATTTTTGGACGGTAAAATTACTTCAGGACTACAGGTTTGTGTTGATGGAATCATTCCTCCTGCATCTGGACTGTCAAGTTCGTCTGCTTTAGTAAGTGCAGCATGCCTGGCTCTTCTGTATGCTCAAAATGTTCCCCTGAGTAAAACTGACATTGCGTCTTTATGTGCAAAATGCGAGCGATACATCGGAACTCAAGGAGGCGGTATGGATCAAGCAATAGCATTTTTAGCTGAGAAGAACTGCGCCCAATATATTACGTGGCAACCCCTGAATGCTACACCTGTGGCCCTTCCCGAGAATGCAGCGTTTGTTGTGGCACATAGTTTAGCAGAAGCTAACAAAGCAGCAACCAACGATTTTAATCGACGGGTGATTGAATGTAGGTTGGCGGCTAAAATTATAGCTACGTGTGCAGGTGCAGCTACTGATAACAAAATTATTACACTTAGCCAAGTACAAAATAAACTCGATAACACTTTAGAAGATATGGTAAATCTTGTACACAAGTATTTGCCTAAGGAATTGTATACAAAGGAAGAAATATGTGACATTTTAAATGTTAATGAAGAAGAACTAGAGCAATTTTATTTAACACCAAACACGAAGCATTTGACGGAGTTTAAATTAAAACAACGCGCTCTTCACGTTTACGAAGAAGCCATTCGTGTGGAAGATTTTCGTAAACATTGCTCGCAAACAGTGTCAAACGGGACTAAAGTTAATGGTTATGGTGTGAATGGAAATGGGTCTTGTGAAAATGGTGATGCCAAAGATATAATTGATGTACTTGGAAATCTTATGTCCGGTAGTCACCACAGTCTGAAAGACCTGTACGAATGTTCTCACGATAATTTGGATCATCTAGTCAATATATCAAAAGAGATGAATGTCCATTCTCGTCTCACTGGTGCTGGGTGGGGTGGATGTATTATTGCTTTGTGTCCAAAAGAGAAAGTCGATAAATATATTGATCATTTAACAGAAAACTTTTATATAAAACATTGTAATATCGACAAAAGTCAAGCTAAGTCATATGTATTTGCTACTACTCCAAACCATGGTGCAGAAATATATTTAAATAAATAAATTATTACTAACGAACATAGGTTCGAAAACTGTAGCTAATATAATTGCTAGTAAGTACTTTGTAGTATTGTTATTGTATCCACCGCCTTAGCTATGATGTTTACAATTACGATAACATACCTTTGTTATTAAAATATGCCATAAAAGGTGCTCAACATAGCTATTTTGATTAGGTTGATTTATATCTAGTTGAACGTTAGATATTACCGCTATTTTGGGTAGTATTCGTATTTCTTAATATAGGTACCTATTAAAAAAATATAACAGCTTTACGTTTATGTAATTAGAGATAAATATGTAATGTATTATTACTTTCAAATCAACAGCATTTATTATTTCATTAACGAGTAAATATTAATATTAGCTTTAGAAATTGTGTTTAATCAATAAATAAACAATTATAATCTAATATTTTGGTTTCATTTCTTTAAAATACTTTTCAAGAAAGCAAGGCAATATTATCAATTCATATTTACTTTGGTATGTAATAATCATAAGAAATACATAGTTAATTTTATTGATGAAACACGTACACTTTATTAAAATTCACAAGGATCGTTACATTAACTTTGTTTTAATTTTTGACTAATAGTTTCTTTTCTGCAAGTAAAGTCTGATTTATGAGATAGTGTTAGAGTTGTAAATGTATTTAAATAAGATAAAAATTATAATTCAGCGATTAAAAATTAATATATATATATAACAGAATTACTATTCAAGTATTAATTAAATAAAATGAAAATAAATAATTATCGAAGTGCACTTTATAAATGCAAGTTATTGAATAGCCAACCAGGCCAGCTGTCAATGAACATTAAAATGTCACTGTCACATTTTTAATTCGAGATTTCATCAGATTGTTTGAGAAGATGAAAATGCTGAAATAATTTGATAAAAGTTAACATTATTGGTATTTTTTAAAGTGTGATATACATGACTATTACTTGCCCACAACTGCTTTCTAAAAACAGCTGTTATAAACGTAAGTATCGTATTTTGCAACGTCCTACATTGTGTACGTAAATATTTTAATAACATGACAATTTTACATCAGATTGTATAATTTCAAATGTTTTATAGCTTGCGAAGGATAAGCAGCTATGACAATGGCTCAGGTATACGAAATTTACTTTTTCTTGCTATGTGTCAATTCTCAACTTTTTAGGTTATGTATGTTTCTACGTACAGTAAATATAGAATAGAAATTAGATCTAAAAATACATTTTAGTTAAGATAACATTGTTGATAATCCCATATATTTTTGCAACTATTTATAAACCTTAAACAACCTGTTGAACCTTATTTTGTGTGTTTGTAACAATAAAATGGCAATTCCTCCTTATATTTTATTTTGCACCCTATTTAAACCTCATCCTTCAATCGAGCATATTGATTCTGAAATAGGAACTACTTAACTCTAACAATTTAATTTAATATTGCAGGAAAGTTACCAGAAATTATCTGCAAGTACTAAAAGAAGAAACAGGCGACATAAACTTAAATCAATTTTATCACAGACTCAAAATAATCTAGCAAACAATTCAAATAACATAGACAATATAGGCCATCCAGAAATAACTAAAGACTCTAATAAAAACTTCATAGTAAACCACAACATCCTAGGAGATGTACAAGATAGTATAATAAAAAATAAAATAGAAGAAAATATAAAAATGTCATCCACAGATAATAAATCTAGGGATGAAGTAATGGCCGCCAGACAGGCCAAGAAGCTGGCCAAACAGAAAGGCAAAGGAAAAGAACCAGTACAAAAGGAAACAAAAGAACAAAACATAGCAAAGCCTGTTGCTCCAAAATCAGAGCCAGTGCCATCTACAGAGAAAAAAGTAACAAAAGAAGAACAAAAGCCTGTCAAAGAACTTAATAAGGAACCTACTTCGAAGGGGAAGGATGAAGTGGATAGAGCAGTTAAGGTAGAACCTATAATTGAAGGTGCTGATAGAAGTAAGGACGATATTAAAGCAGAAAGAGCTGCAAAGAAAGCTGCTAAACAAGCTAAGAAGAAGGGGACAACAGAAGGAGAGAAAGTAGAAGAAGTGAAGGTTCCTGAAAAACCTGCTGTGAAGGAGGTTAGTAAACAAGTAAATGAAGATATGACTGTCAGAGATGTAGTAGAAACTCTCAGGGATATTGCTATTGTAGCTAAGGAGATGAAAGAGGTGACTGTTAAAGTTAGTGCTATTGATCTAAGTGGTAAAAAGGTAAGACCTGTTTTTAGAATTTGTGTGATACCAGTGTGTGGTGGAATTTGCATGTTGTTTGGTCTGGTTGCATTCATTATAGTTGATTTCTTTAGCTAGCAGGTAACTTATACTTGGGAGCAAAGAAACGGAGCCAAAGCGTTTTCTATAATTAAAAAAAAAATATGTTACAACAAAATGCTCTCATTTTAAAGGTAACTAATTTGCCTTTTATACGACATATGTTGCCAATTAATAAAATAATGGTATTAGGAAATATTTATCGAGAAATGAAAAAGTGCCTCCGTTTCTTAGGACCCAAGTTATATTATTAAATATTTTGAGAAAGAGTAAAGGAATTATCTTGCTATCTTTTTTATAAACACGCTTTGTTAGGTAATGCAATCTATTGTCTGACTTACACCATTCGGTAGATATCTTGTGTATCTGTAAAATAATGGTGACTGTATAAAAAATAATCTTTTCACATGTCACATTGTCAATGCAATTTGAAACATTAGATTATTATTAGCAAATATGTAATTATCAAGGGAACTGTAAAATGTTTCTTATTCAACATACCTATAAGTTTTAAAGTCCTTTGCCCTTTTTCTGTCGTAAGTGGTTTGGTCTTGCTTCTATACATTATTGAAGAATAATAATAATTACAAAATTCTTTATTTGCTTCAGGCTGAAGAGAGTAACAAAAGCAAGGCTGAATTAAAGGCTGAAAGACGTGCAAAGCAGGAGGCTCAGAGAGCTGCCAAGCAAGCTGCACAGGAAAAGGCTGCGGCTGCTGCGAAACCTAAAGTGGAAGCTAAGTCCGCTGAAGGAGATGGTGCTAAAGTCAAAGAGGTATGTTGTATTAAGGTAACAAAGAAATTTGGCTTGAATAAGAGTTTAGTAAAGAAACTTGAGTATTCATAGTCAACAAACATCACACAGGACCAACTGCCTGGTTGGTCAACTGCTGACCTAAAAGTTTCGGTTTTAGTTCACAAGGTTTATTGGATTTTGAAAAAATTAACAATTACATTCTACCAGCAATTGTACTTGACATATTACAGAACTAAATCTAAGAAAAACATTGGTTAGAAGTATTAAAATGGAATCTTGGTTCTTGCCTTAGGCTTACCCTCTATTTACATGGGACTTGTAACTGATAAAGGAGGTTAGAGGTAAAAGAGGACCTCTACCTCCACCAATCTCTTCGGGAAATAAAAAGAGGTGTCATTATGGTATCACTACATAGTATAAAACAAAGTCGCTATCCACTGTCTGTCTGTTCCTATGTATGCTTAGATCTACTACGCAACAGATTTTGATGCGGTTTTTTTAATAGATAGAATGATTCATAAACTGTCAAACACCGAGCGGTCACCGGTGACCGCAACCTATTGTTCTTTAATTGTGTCTATAATGACGGTACTCAACGAGTTAAGGATGGTTTATATGTATAATACATGCATATTGCACCCATGCGAAGCCGGGGCGGGTGGCTAGTTTAATTATAAAATTTTTAAAACTTATTTCAGGAGAAAGCACAAAAACAGAAAACATTAGAGAAAGCTAAAGTGAAGAGTGGAAGTGGTCATAGAGTGAACTGGTTCCAACATTTGTACAAGGAACATGACAAAGAAGCACTCAAGTCTATCGCCATCAACTCCAAGTAAGTCACTTTCCATCTTAACTTTAATGCTGTAAAATTGAGATTTGCATAGTCATTGAGCACTTTAGGGCGTTTTGAAATGTAACTACTGTGTTTATTCCATCAGACCATTACATTGTATCCAGCCATTATTTATCTATTTTAATATTCTAGTGAAGGTCCCGCATTGAATCAATTATTTTTATAATCCTCTAATTGTAACCACAAAAGTTCATCAGTCATCATAATTCTATAGTAGGGGAGCCCATGATGCTAAATTGGGATTTACTTGAGCGTCCTTGGGACCTACTGGATTTTGAAGATATGCTGATAGAAAGAAGAAATGGTTTAGTGACAATTTCTTCCACCAGTGGGGGAAGGGGGAATCTACAGATCTATGAAATTGTTAAGCGTAACTTTTGTTCTAGTGGTCGAGCGTGTCAGATATTGATAATGTACATGCTCCATGTGTATTTAATAATAAAAAGCTCTTAATCTGCCAGTTTGCATGGTGGGGTTGAAAGTTCTGGAGAGTACAAACGAGAACTCTTCAAAATCCCCCCACTCTTGCAAATCAAGTTGGAATGGGCAGAGTTTTTAAACGCACTTCCTTTAGCACGGTATTGACCTACCTTCCCTTAATCTGACGAAACTGACTTTATTTAGTCAGACTTTTTTTTTAATTTTCAGTCCCCCCCCCTTCTAATCAGATCGGATATATGTTGGGTATGTTCAACATGACACTAGGTTTTCCCCATATGTTAATCTGACGCGCTCGAGTAACTACCGAAATCCCTTCATGGGCTCCCCTACTACCTCCTTTTTTTTATGACTATAACAGCTTGTTCTTATTAACTTCTCAATCCCCAACTATGAAAAATCCACAACATTTGTTCATACAAAAAGAGTCTCTAGACTTTGGAAATAAGGTCTATAATGGGGTAAGTGGAGTACTGGGCAGCTTGATTCTCTATTGCCTACTTCATATACACAGATAGACGCCTACAAAATGTCTCTAGAATTTACAAAACCACTTATTATTATAAGGTCAATTGTTATGAAACCTTGAATACTTATTGCACCAATTGTGTGATATTGATGCGACGACGTTATATCGGCGCTTTGTTTCGTGTACGTACGACTACTAAAGCAGAGTATATTTACAGCAAAACAACATTGCATGCCAGTGATAATTAACTGTATCGGACGTTTTAAATGTCATTGCTTTTTCTTTTTTAAATTGTTAGACTAAAATTAGAGTCATATATTGCGATATCCCTTCTGTTTCTTAAAAATATTAACTTACCATTGTTTCATACATTTCATTCTATATCAAGCAAAAGCACTACCAGGCGAGATAAGAGGCCAAACATCGACCCATCTATGTGATGATGAAAAATAAACAAGAAGAAAGCTTTTTATACAAAACAAATAATTATTATTGTGCAAGTTCATCGTAATATGTTTATAGTATTGTTTAATTTGCAGCTTGCACCCAGCCATCGTGAAGCTGGGTGTACAGTTGGCGTCCAA